AAACTTATATAATCTCAGAATAGGATCTAGCCACTGGGTATGAGAATAATAATAATAATAATAATAATAATAATAATGAAAAACTAAGAGCAAACCTGGGGTCTTTAGAGGTAAGGAGGAGACTGAGGGAGGAAAGCAGTCAAAAGCAAACTGCAGAGATCAGTGTCAAGGGTGGAAATAACAGTGTGTGTCTGCACTGAGTGCCTGAGAAGCTGACAGGGTCTCTGTGATACCTGGAGAGGGTGGTGGGTGTGGCTTTATGGAAAACTGACCTTTTATGGTGAGTGGTCACAAACTAAAAGGGAAATGAAGCTCCTTAATGGTCTTGAATCCGAGTGATCTAAGATACCGAACACAAGTGTTGCTTGTGGAGGAAAAAAATTACTACCAAAATAAATCTATAAGTTTGCAGTCTCATTGTGTTATCAGAGAAGCGGACTAATACTCCTGTGACAGCTTTCTTTTGGAGTCTAATGACATCACAGTATAAGCAAGCATAAAACCATTTTTCTACTTCTAGATTATTGATTTCAGCCATGCTCTACCAACTCCTCCTTTCCCCTATTAATAATACTTTGGCCAAATGCCGTAACTTTGACACTTGCTTTTGGATATTAAATTTTACTCCAAACCAACTTAAAACCTCACTATTATTTCAAATTCCAACATTACCCTTCTCCTCACACTCCTAGCCCACTCCTGCCTTGCAACGAGGCAGGACTGGCTTTTAACACATCTCATTGGTTCCTACCCCTCATCCCACCCACCCTTTCAAGAACCAAGGGAAGGTACCAAGAGACAAAGTCAAGTGTCCCTTTACTTGGCTTCGAAAGGCCTTGGCCTCTTTGGAAGTCATTGCTGCATTGCTCCTTCATCTGGCTGTGCTCAGATGTGCTCTGTGGAAACCTCCAGAAGCATGTGCCTTCAGAGGATCCTCTAGGGGGTCTGTCCATTGGTACTTGACATGAGAGATCAGGCTCCAACTTTGCCTCCCCTTCTCCCACACAATTCCTTCCACCTATGATGCACCTACTGCCCGCTGCTTTGGAGAACTTCTTCCTTTGGAAGAGGGATAGAGCTAGAAGCAAGTTCACACCAAGAGCTGCTGCCTCACAGCATTCACTCCACCATGCCATCTCTTTTCAGCTCTTTTTTTTTTTTTTTTTTCGGAGCTGAGGACCGAACCCAGGGCCTTACACTTGCTAAGCAAGTGATCTACCACTGAGCTAAATCCCCAGCCCCTCTTTTCAGTTCTTTTATTCCTGATCAGGTAGTCTCAGACAGAGCTCAGAAAGTGTTATTTCAAAACCAGAGAGACAGAATTCCTCTCCACATCCTAGAGGCATCTCTGACTTTATGAATGACTCTTTTGGACCCCAACCACCAGAAGGAACAAAACAGCACAAACAGTGCACTGCACATCTCATAAAAGAAAGGACTTAGAGAGCAGCCATCCCAGTCCCCGCTCCCCCATGGCCATAGGTGGGGAGTGGAGGTGATGGCACTGGTTCCATTCCACCTCTGTTAGCTCTGAAGGGAGGCCTCTGATATCAACCACTGGAAGATCACCAAAGATTGTTTTTCTCTGAAGTGGTATCTCCCCCACCCAACACCATGGGCTCTGATAGCTGGCTTTGGAATAATGAGAAAAATTCTATCCAACATTCTATTATAGTCATTTAAAAATAATATTTAGAGGGACTGGAGAGATAGCATACTGGTTAAGAACACTGTTCTTGCAGAAGACCCGGGTTCACCTGGGTTCGAATCCCAGTACCCACATGGCAGCTAACAACTGTCCGTAACTCCAGTCTCAGGGGATCCAACAGCCTCTTCTGACCTCCGCGGGCATTGCACGACACGGATGCACTTATCTACATGCAGGCAATACACGCATGCATATAAAATAAAAAAATAATGAATACAATATCAAAATGATAATAATAATATTTAGAAGGAAGTCCTGGGGCTGCAGAGATGGCCCAGCAATTAAGAGCACATGCTCTTCTTCCAGAGGACCTGAGTTCTATTCTTAGGAGTCACATTGGGCAACTCATTACCATTTATAACTCCAGCTCCAAGGGATCAGGCACCCTTTCCTGGCTTCTTCAGGTACACACACACACACACACACACACACACACATGCAGTATACGCTTATAGATCTATATACATTTTTTTAATGTAAAGAAATCCTGATACAATCACGTTTCTGTATTTTCTGACAGACCCTGGTGGAGTATGGAGCAAATGTCACCATGCAGAACCATGCTGGGGAAAAGCCTTCCCAGAGTGCCGAGTGGCATGGGCACACCCTGTGTTCCCGGTACCTAGTGGTAGTGGAGACCTGCATGTCACTGGCCTCACAAGTGGTAAAGTTAACCAAGCAGCTAAAGGAGTAAGTGGCTACTTGATTCTTGGAGAACAAAGTCTGACTTGTATTTGTTGCACCTAGATTTCAGCCAAGGACTTTGGTAAGCTCCCTCCATTCTAATAGTAGAGGGAATTCCCAGCCATCTCCTCCTCCACTGTGTGGAGGAAACATACTATTTCTGTAGAGGAAAGATGATATTAGACCACAAAGTACACAGCAAGCTCTCCAAAGAGGAAATTACAGCCACCATGATAAGGTGTTCGATCGAGCCTCTGTCTGCATTCACATCATCTAGGGCTTTGTCATAGCAGGGCCCTGGTGGCACCCAGAAACATCTCTGACCTTCTGTTCTTAACAGTGTAAGAAATCATAAAGAGTATGACAGCGGGAAGGGCTAGAGATGTGTTTGCTACAACAACAAAAATGTGTATGGAGTAAATTACAAACAAGCAACTTCATATCCATCAACAGTACATGTATTGTGAAAATTAAGCAGATGATTAATGAACTTTCAAAATATAAAAGCATTCACATTATGACTTGTGAAAGTCAATACTTTCCTTGTTGTGATTACTAAACTGGTACACATTGCCTATCTGGATGTCATGGAAACATTTTCAGGAGAGTGCCATGAAATACTTGAAGAAGAGAGGGAGAGGTAAAAGTGCATAAAGGAAGTTTCTAGACGCCTGCCAGGAGAACCAACTTCAGCCCTTGACCATACAGCCTTTGATCACACAGATCACATGATGGTTGCCATAGTGGGGAGGGTTTCTTGAAAACTAGTATTCAAAAAGGGGCAACAGACAAGGAGGACAAAGCCTTTTAACAGAAAGTTAAATTTTAGAGGGAAAATATAAAGTCTTGCTATTAAGATATAGGCATATATTCATACATATTTTAATAGTGAAATATAATGTGATATAGCAAGTGATATATGTACTATAGCGTAGTGGGGGGAAAATATAACTGTAGATATGAATCATGTAACAATATGGTGTGACCTCAGGCCCTCTGCGTCTTCCCATCTCCCTCCACTCTCATCGCCACTGTGCTCCTCCCGCTGTGAGCATCTACAATAATCTTTTTCATGACTTTAAATTTTTCCTAGAAAATAAAATTTAAAAACCTGAAAAATAAAAGATTTTACTTCTAAGAATCCTCTGCCAAATTAAACAAACTTCCCGACTGGTGAGCTGGGTGGACTTCAAGATCTCACTGTAGCTGAGGAGAAAGTGTTCATAAATTAATAACCCACTAAGTTATTTTTCCTTTAATGAACAGACTTTCATATATGTCTGATCTGGGGCTGTAGCTCACTTTCCCAGCTTAGAGAGGCTCTGAGTTCAATCCTAAATACTAGGGAAAAGTGTGAATAAATGTTGCCCAATGCCTTCTAAAAACTCTTCAAGCAATGTCCACTCCCTCTAGTAATAAATAGACATACCCATGAAGTCTGCAGCCATACCACCCTGAACATACCCAATCTCATCTAATCTCAGAAGCTAAGCAGGGTTGGGCACAGTTAGTACTTGGATGGGAGACATACCCTTGATGAGGAACTTTAAAATGATCTAATAGAATTTCACACCCCCAAAACAGATTTTAAAAACATTCTCAACTTTTATACCATGAACTTTGAAGGGTTTTCATGATCTGCACAGCTGTTTTGATGTTTTATTGGTGATTTTATTAGTAAACTGTACAAATTCAGTCCTGACTGCTCTCTCTCTCAAAGATCTTAGAAGAAGCTATCCCTGTACACTAACAGCCCTTGAGTTGTCTCCAAAGCTAAATTCTGTAGGCAAATGTTGTTAGTCCAAAGACAAGATAAAATACAAGAAGTCCTCTTTTAGCACTGTTCTGTCACATACTATGTGTAAAAATGGAGTGAGCAAAACCAGAACTACACAGAGATCGCCACTTGGTATAACCACACACACCTTGGGGTGTGGGGCATCAGTAACAGACAGGAGCAGGAATGGAAATGGTTTCCAAGGAGGGAAAACTCAAGTCTTCCTAATCCAGAGTTCTGGAGGGGAGACAGCCTTGAACGCTACTTCCTTTGAGAATACTGTTACCAACTCACAGCAATTGTTACTGTTTAAAAATGGAAAACTTCAGCTCTGATACAGTGCTACTCAATAAGTCTAGGTGTTTGGAAGTGAATTTTGTCCCCACCGGAAAGATATATTGGAGTACTAAGCCCTAATACTTCATAGAAGTAATCAAGTCCAAGTGAGGTCTCGATGGTTGGCCCTATTCCAATGATTAGTGTTCTTATAAATGAAGGAGACAGATAAAGGCACGGAGAGTACACTATGTGAACATGAAGGCAGGGATGGTGCTATAAATTATAAAAGCAGTGTTTGCCAGTGAACATCGGACCCTAGGAGAAAGGCGTAGGACAGACCCTGCCATGGGCCTCAGAAGGAACCAACCTTCCTCACAACTTTGTCTCAGACTTCTTAGGCCTCCAGAACTGTGAGATGATAAATTCCTATTGTTTGAGGATGGAGAGATGGTTCATCAATTAAGAGCACTTGCTGCTTTTGAAAAAGACCTGGGTTCAGTTCTCAGCAACCATATCAGGGGGCTCAGAAGTGCCTGTAACTCCAGTTTTGGGGAATCTGACACCCTCTTCTGGCCTCTGAGGGCATTAGGCATGTATATGTTGCATATATATACATATATATATGTATATATGCAGGCATTCACACACGCACATAAAATTAAAATAAATCTTTAAAAATTATCATCTAATCCACCTGGTTTGTGGTACTATGGCAACCCTATCAAACTCCCATGATAGGCAAATACAGTTTTCTCTATGAAATTAACATTGATCCTTTCTGGAAGCTTCTTTCAAATCTAGAAAGCAAAGTGTTCTCCATTTGTTCTTGTTTCCAACCAAGAATCAACCGAAGTGCCACCAAAACTTTTTTTAATTGTGTCATAATTCATATAAGACAGCAAATAAATCTTTCTTCAAAATGATTATAATCTTCCTTTATCTGTCTTAGCCCCTCATAACTTTTGTCAAACACTTACTTTTGAGTATACACTTTTCCTATCCAACTAAATCACTTTGATTCTCATGGGGTGCTTTCCCTTAATATTTCTATGTCTTCAAAAAGCAAAAAGAACTTGACACGCATCCCAGCTAACAAAGTAGGGATCATAGAATGCTGTAATATATCTTGAGATTTTAGTCTTACATGAAACCAGTGTCAGCAAACTGTACACTGGGACAAAGCCAGCCCACCATCCCTTTCTGTAAGTACCCTTTGTTGGCACATGGCCATACACACTCATCTGAGTGTTGTGCAGTGCTGAAGTCACTCCAGTTCCAGGGAATCCGACACCCTCTTCTGAGGTCCGTGGACATTACACAACATGGATGTGCTTACATACATGTAGGCAATACATTCATACACATAATAAAACTAAAATAAATAAAATATTTTTTAAAATAAAATAATATTTCTTTACTCTTATTGATGAACATTTGAGTTCTCATAGTTTCTCACTAATATGAGCAATAAGCTTTTAGATACTTTTGATTATTTCTTTTGGAAAATTTCTGAATGACAAGAATAAAGACTACATGTTTTAAGGCTTTCGAATGAATTGCAACAACTGCATTGCGATGAAAAGTCTTACATGTTTAGTTTATAGCAGTGGCTTTGTACCAGAGAATGTATTCTTTGGTTGTTTTCTGCAGACAGACAGTGGAGCGTGTCACTCTGCAGAACCAACTCCAACAACTTTTAGAAGCCCAGAAGTCAGAGGGCAAATCACTCCCATCTTCACCCAGGTAATACCATGCATGCTGGTATAGGCAATTCTTAAGTATGTGAAATACTTAAATCTTCTCCTATATTTCCTTTCAATGTCTTTTAAGAAAATGACAACAGGGCTGGAGAGATGGCTAAGGGGTTAAGAGCACTGACTGATCTTGCAGAGGACCCAGGTTCAACTCCTAGCACCCACATGGCAGCTAACAACCAGTTCCAGTGGGTGCACTTACACACATGCAGGCAATATACTAATACACATAAAATAAAAATAATAAATTAAATATTTTTACTAAAAAAAAAAAAAGAAAGAAAAAAGCAGCAGCAACAGGGCTAACATGATAGCTCAGCAGTAAGAACATTTGTTGTTCTTCTAGAGGACCTGGGTTCAATTCCCAACACCTGCATGTTGGCTAACAGCCATCAATAACTCCAATTCCAGGAGATCCAATGCCCACTTCTGGCTTTTTCAGGGCATTGCACGCATGTGGTGCACTTACATACATGCAGGCAAAATGTTCATACACATAAAATAAAAATTAAAAAAAATTTTTTTTAAAGAAAATGACAAAAGAAAACATTTTTTTTCTGCTTTGAGACAGGGTCTCTCTGTAGCCCCATCTGGCCTGGTTACTATGTAGACCAACCCGGTCTTGATCTCACAGGATCTGCCTGCCTCTGCCTCCAGAGTGCTGGGATTAAAGGCACACCATGCCCAGCACTAACATTGTATTCTTACAAAAAGAAATAAAGGGCTGGAGAGATGACTCGGCAGTTAAGAGCACCGAGTGCACTTGCAGAGGACTCAGGTTTGATTCCCAGCACCCACATGGCAGCTACAAACCATCCTTAACTCCAGTTCCAGGGGAATCCGTAGCCTTCTTCTGACCTCGGTGGGATTGCACAACATGGATGCACTCACATACATGCAGGCAATACACTCATACTCATAAAATTAAAAAATAATAATAATAAATAAAATTTTTTTAAAAGAAAGAAATAATAAGATATGAGAGTGAAAAGTCTGTGAGTCCAGGGTCACGAGGCCTTAGATGACTTCCAGCTCTGTTGTTTCTTTGTTCCGCACCTCAAACAAGTCACTTTCTCTTTCTTTACTTGACCTGTGCAACGAAAGTAAAGCTATTCTGGCTGATAAGACTGCCAGAAATGCACTTAATTGAAGAAACTCATACAAAACTGGTGTATAAACAATAAAACAGGCAAATTCAGGAGTCATAAAGTATAAGACATGTTATACTACATTCTAGTGGCAGCCACTAGAATGGGATATTTGAAAATTGCTTTGAAAAACCATTAAGTAATTCCGTTGTTATTCCCCACAATTTGTGAGTAGTGTTAAAGGCTGCCCAGGGGCTTGTGGCTGAGTTTTAGTGTAATGGGAAATCATCTCATGTTTCCTTGGTCCTTCTTTCAGTTCACCATCCTCACCAGCTTCTAGAAAGTCCCAATGGAAAGTTCCAGATGCAGATGATGAGGCTACTGCCAAAAACAAACCAGGAGTCCATGAGGGGATTCAGGTTCTTGGAAGCTTATCAGCATCCAGCCGGGCTAGGACCAAAGGAAAAGATGAAGATTCTGATAAAATCCTACGCCAGTTATTGGGGAAAGAAATCTCAGAGAATGTCTGCACCCAGGAAAAGCTGTCTTTGGAATTCCAAGATGCTCAAGCATCCTCTAGGAGTTCGAAAAAAATACCTCTAGAGAAGAGAGAGCTGAAGCTGGCCAGGCTGAGGCAGCTGATGCAGAGATCACTAAGTGAGTCAGATACAGACTCCAACAACTCTGAAGACCCCAAGAACACTCCTGTGAAAAAGGCAGACAGACCCAGGCCACAGCCCATTGTGGAAACTGTGGAGAACATGGACAGCGCAGAAAGCTTACACCTAATGATAAAGAAACACTCTCTGGCATCTGGGCGCCGGTTTCCTTTCGGTACCAAGGCCTCCAAATCCCTGGATGGGCACAGCCCATCTCCCACTTCAGAAAGCAGTGAACCAGACTTAGATCCCCAGGGTCCAGGCTCAGGGATCACTCCTCCAAACCAGTCTTCTGCAGACCCTACTCAGTCTAGCCCTGACAGCACTGCTGCCCAGAAAGTTGCCACAAGTCCCAAGAGTGCCCTCAAGTCTCCATCATCCAAGCGCCGGACATCCCAGAACTCAAAACTCAGAGTTACCTTTGAGGAGCCAGTGGTACAGATGGAGCAGACTAGCCTTGAACTAAATGGAGACAAAGACAAAGACAGGGGCAGGACCCTCCAGCGGACCCCCGCAGGGAGTGAAACAGGGGAACAAATGAAAAGGCCTTTTGGAACCTTTCGATCCATCATGGAGACTTTAAGTGGCAACCAGAACAATAATAATAACTATCAGCCCACCAATCAGCTGAAGACCTCCACCCTGCCCTTAACCTCACTTGGAAGGAAGACAACAGATGCCAAGGGAAACCCTGTGAGCTCTGCTAGCAAAGGAAAGAATAAGGCAGTGAGTGCTATTTGGAGACTATCTTCTTATCACCTTTAATTTATAGTCTCAGTGCCCAAAGTGTTGACCTGTGCCACCATGAGAGAATCCTTCCACTCCCAAAATTCAGAAATCCATATGTTTCTAGTGAAACATTTCAGATTCAAATGCATACCCCTTGCTTTTCCTTGGTAAAATATCCCGAGAGAGGCAGGCAAATAAATCAGAGATTGTGTCTGATACTTATTTCCTGCTCTTTAGGCATTAGGGGTTATAGGCTAGGACGCATTTCTGTAAGATGAAACCAGCAGTCAGTGCAAAGTCAAGTCCTTTGTTGGCACTGATTCTGCCCCAGAAAGAGTCAGTTCTCTTTGTGTGACTGGATATTCTCAAGTTCAATTAAAAAGTCCGCAAATAGAAAACCCATTTCTAAACCACTCAACTCGAATAACTTCTGAAATGAATCCCCCACAGGGACCTCCACATGGCATGTTACCACACAGATCTCTAGGTGTTGATTAGACTCTGGAGAGACTGAAGTGCTGGCCAGTTCCCAGGAGATGGCAGAATGTGTCACGAAGTAGTTTATAATTGCATTTACTGGAAATCCATGCACTATCGCCTGTAATTTGTGTCCAGTGAGTAAGAGATAGGAACAGCTTTTTAGGCAATGTTTTCTGCATGTGCTATGCTTGTCACACTACCAAAAATAGTATAGCAGCCAGAGTGCAGAACTCTCTATGGAAGGAATGCCTCAGATCATCCAACATCCTAGTTCCTAATCCATTCAGTGGAGTATGAAAGCTTATAATTTATTATTTATATAAGGTTAAAACCCTATTACAACATAGCCTGAAGAAGTGTCTGCATTCTTGTTGTCGCAAATCAGGTTTTAATATCTCTTCAGTTGACTCATCACCAATTTTTAAATTATCTAGCAATTTCTTCTGTAAATGGTCCTTGTAATAGAAAACTTTATCATGTATTTATTAAGACTTTTTGCATTAACTATGTTAAAAAATGTTTCCAAATATTAGAGTTTCTGGATCAGCAGAAAAACTAACATCATCTCCCCAGGTTCCATGTTCCTATGCCTGTCCTCTACTCTGTCCCCAGCATGCATCAGCTTTATTGGACTTGTGCATGTGCTGAGCTTGTTGCATGTTTTCAGATAATGTTTAATTGTACTTCTCCAGGAGATGTACAGCAGCTGCATCAATCTTTCCTCTAACTTACTGACTGAAGAGCATCTGCGTAACTACATACGGTATGTGGCGTGGGGTGCACTTGACATTGCCTTGCCTTTGCCTGGAGTTGTATGAGCTTTGAAACGATGGACCTGCATCACTTTTCAGCAGGGGATAACACCAAGGAAGAAGAAAATTGCAAGTCTGCTCCCCAGAGAGAAGCAGGCTGAGGTGGTAACTAGGTCTTAGAAGGTAGCTAGTATCCACTGGAGGGGCCATTATCCCAGCATCAGTCCGAAGAATCTGCTCTGTTCACAAACTCAATGTTTCTTAGTTGACTGTGACTTTTGATTTTTGTTTTAATGGAGTCAAGTACCAAGTAAGTACAGAAATTAAATCCCTGTCATGGGCAGAGGAAGCCAGCTGCCACTTAGAATCAGAACTTTGAATCAGAGCTAAGTCTTATTTCAGTGCTGATTGTAAGCTGAAAGTGCCTTTCATCATCGCCTGATTGCAGGAGAAGCCAGGCCTTGCCAGGCCGAAACTCTCTAGCTTAGCTTTATGAATCACAGATCCAGTCCAGAAGCCAGTCTGATGAGTGTCCAAATGTATGGACTATGTATGTACAAAAGAGAGGGCTCTGGCCAGTGGCTGGGACTCCTCCTGAGGCAAAGTCTTCCTGTGCTTCCGTGTTTGTCCTGCACTGGGAATATGCACCATTCCCTGACCAGGCAGGAAGGAGCAACAGGAAACTAGCCCGATGAGAGTTAATGTGGTCAGCTCCTTTTGACTGGTTTATTTGAGATTTTAATCACAAAACCCATAATCAAAGCAAACTTGGTTTTAAAACATGTCAGTAATTGAAAAATCATGACATGGTATTCAACATTGCTCCAAAATCTTCCAAAGGGTGTGTGTACTATACATAGGAATTTTACTTCAGAATACTAAAATGAAAGAAAGTCTCGTTTGTGCCACCTCGAAATCAAATTTAATTTGCTTCTTGTCTATATTGAGGCTGGAAGGACATTTAATCTGAGTCATGTTGGGGAATATCATTAGGGATCTCATTAATTTGGTGCAGTGAAGGAAGACCCTTAGAGCCTTAATATGTGCTAGTTACCAGTAGTCTCACTTGGGTGCAGCTGGCAGTAGGTAGCCTCAAGGCAGAGTCTGGACAGCTTTCAGCCGTCCTGGGGAGAGGCTTCTGGCCAGTACAGAGAGCCCAATGCCTGAGGTGGGAAGATGATAGGAAAAAATGTTCTGTGCTCTTCCAGACCTTGGCATTAGCCCACTTCTGTTTCTTTCAACCGAGTCCCTATTCTTGGACCCTTTTCTGTCTCTGTTTTATATTGGATGTTTCTTCTTGATGCCTGGAAAATGCTGCTTTTGTCCTTGTGTCAAGGAAACACAAAGATTTGGCAAATTCCCGAGATGCAGAAAGGCCAATAGCGCTCCTTTCTTCCCGGCTACCACAGTAACTGGGAGCAAGATAAGTCTTAGAATCACGATAGAGTCTCCTGCCAGAAATACTTCACTCTGTTTTTGACAAGCAACAAAGCTGAGACTTTTACTATAATAAGATTACAGAACTCAGAGCACAAAATCAGGCTTTAGAACCAATCAGATATCCAAGACTAGTTTAGTGCTTTCTGATTCAGCTTAAGGAACAGCCCTTCTAAACACACAGTTGAACTTAGCCAGTTCCCTGGCCTCGTGTAGTAACAGTGCTTGATTACATCACTAAATACTTAGAAATGCCAAAATAAAATAATTATGATATCAAATAAGCATTCTGATCTATTTCCCTCACTGCTCTATAAGGTAACATATACTTTATCATGGTTTTAGTTTGTCATCTGTTTCCATAAAAAAATAGAAAGTCTAGTTTGTTTGTTTTTCATATTAGAAAGAAAGGATACTTCTTATTGCTCCTGAATCACATACACGCAGGTAGAACAAGCCCGGTCCACTCCTCAGATAAAGCAAGAATGGCTCTCTCTACTTGCAATAAAGATTCCTCAGAGAAATTAAGACTTGAGTGAAATGTTGGAATGAAAAATGCACAGTTAACTCTAATGCCAGCTGTGTTTACCTGTGGGATCCAAGTATAAGCACTCATCTATCAGTGGTGACTTGCCACAAAAACGTACTTGGAGACCAGGTAGCTCCTTGAGATAGCAAAGGACTTCCTAATCTTTGGATGGGAGATGCTGAAAAGAGTCACTACTACTGAGTCACCTTGTCAGCAGAAATAATAGGTATCAGTTCCAGGGATCCATTCAAATCAGTCTAGTTTCTAAGAAATTTTTCCTGGTAAAAGAAAAACAGGGACAACAAATGTAGCATTTTAAGAAAGTCAGCTCTGTGAGGGGGCTCTGTTTGCTGTTTATTTTTCTAAAATTGGTCATAGATTGGTAGCAAAATTTCTTTTCAATGCCCTTTAAAATTCGATTCAACCTTGTTACTTTGCCAGCTTTCCCAGTGTGTTTCAACTGCAGAAGATGACTTGGTTTATAACAAGCAGATTTATTTCTACTTTATCTTACAAAGGCTATGTTGACCTTGAGTTACTACAACTCCAAGGAGATGTTTATAATTAGTGGTCTTAAAATGCCAATGAAACATTCATTTCCTGGAGTTTGAGTCTGTCTGAGATTTGTAACACATAAAGGTAGCTTGATTCCAGACCTTGGCAATGGAGAGTAACACCTTCTCTGACCATGTGGCCCTATTACCTGAGGAATTAACACCCCAATCCTAGCACCAGTATTGGAGGAGACTCCTTAAAAAGACATGAAGCAATAAACACTGCTAGTGTGGGTTTTATACCCATGAATTAGCCACACTGGGAATTGTATATCTAGAGCCAAGAGTAATGTCAAATTTTTGGCATAGATTTTGACAGCTACTTCAAAGAGAGTGATCTTTTGGGCCTAGGGATTGACTGATGTACACTGTGGCACTGGGGGTCTGTTGCTTTGTCCCGTAGAAAGTACAAAGGGAAAACCTTCCTTGGAAACCACAGTCAGGCCACCAGGACATGTTCTTTTGGTCTACTGATCCTGGTTTAATGACAGAAAGCTTAGGCACCAACAACTCATTCTCCGTCTCCCTTTCCTCACTCCTGAAAGATCCAGCTGTGACTTGAGCAGGCCCAAAAGGGAGGTATATTCTTCAGTGTCGTCATACCACATGTCTGCCACTACTAGACACATCTCTGTACACTACAGAACCTACCTATAACCTTTCTAAAGGCTAAAAGTGATAGGTTGAAATCAGCACAGATAGAAAACCTTTCTGGGTCACATCTCTGCATTGCCAAGCCATTCTTTTCAATATCTTTATCAGTAAGTCACATTTGGGGGAAGCTAGGAAGATAGCTCAATCTGTAAAATGCTTGCTGTGTAAACTTGAAGACTTGAGTTTGAGACCCAGAGCCTACATTTTAAAAAAAGAAAGCCAGGTGTGATGGTACGTGCTTGTGATCACAGCACTGTATCAGCAGAGACAAGTGGATCCCTGGGGCTCCCTAGCCAGCAAGTCTACCCAAATCAGTGAGCTCCAAGACAGTATCAGAAAACAAGTTATATGACTCCTGAGGAACAACACCCGTGGGTGGTTTCTGACTTCCACATGCATGTGTACACATGTGCACTCATGCCTCCACACATACAGATAGACGTACCCACATGAACATGAGACTCACACACAAAAGACACATTTTTCTGTCCAAGGCACAGGTCTCTAAACTCAGGGAGGTCATAATGAAGAGACTCGACAGAGAACATGACTAAAACAAGCTTTCTGAAGGCCTAAGAGCTCCGTGAAAGCAGTCATCCTTGAGACCATTGTCTGCCAGCGTCTAGCATGGTATGTGGCATATGATATAGAGAGAAACAGAGCTTGACAGGGGAAAAGAAAGAAGAAAAAGGAAGAGAGTCCGTAGGGAAAACATGAGCCCATCATCCTGCAGCGAACAAAATGTTATGCTGTGTTAATTCCTTTGGTTCTCCCTCCCTATCCTCCTCTCCAGTGAGTTTCAATTTGGGTATCATTTAAAGTGTACATGTACATACTTCAAACCAGGATCCCAGTTTTTAGTAGAGAAAACGTATAGCTTGGCTTTGAGTAAAACTCTAAAGGAAGAAAAAAAAAAAACACTTACCAAGGTCTTCCTTTGGTTAGCAAGAGTCATGTGTTACAGGCTGTGAACAATTGTACAGATACTGAAAGTTGCTCCAATTGCCGCACACTATGGAAATACAGAGTCTATGCCTAGATGATTCACCATGCTGGATTACTTGAAAGACTGTTATTTAAATTTAAGTCTTTTCTCCTTTTCAATTTTGGTCACTCAGAATGTGATTTCATATCCAAGAGTGAAATAGAGGCACAACAATTATCGGAATAATTTATGCCAGAATGATCCAGTTTTGTGCTTTGGAATTCTGGTAATGGAGGACTGAGTGATTAAAGGATTCAGGGAAGACTGAATTATTATCATATCATTTGGATAAATGTCTCAAGTTAACAGTTTGCTTAGTTTGGATTCAGCTTGCTCAAATCAAACTTCCTTTTTCTTTCAGAAAGGGGATTCTTTTGAGGGTGTTGAACATAATACCCCATATATTAAAACAAAAATATCCCTTCAAAAAATCTTAGCTATATTATCTTTAGCCTACAGCCTATGTTGTCTTTTTAACTTATTTTAAAAATCAAGATTATATAAATACATATAAGTAATACTGGCATGGCAAAAGTTGGCCATCCCACAATCAGGTATGGATGAAGGAGGAGCTAGGGGACCCCCATCCTTCACTGTTTAAACTATTTCCTACCCATAGATTCAGGGACAGGGAGTCATTATCTCCAGTTGTGTACCCACTGGCAACCCCGCCAGCCTCCAATGGAGAGTCCCAATCCAGTGGCTGCACAGATGGCCCTGGTTAGACTGAATGAGCCACAAAGAAAACCAAAATCATGACTCTGGGAAAGGAACTGGTAGGGATTGGGAGAAGTTATAGAAAAGGGAGGGAGATGAGATGGGAGGAAACAGTAATCATTGTATATACAATGTATGAAATTGTCAAAGAACAAAATCAGTCAAAAAGTTGGCTGCCTCTTATGCCCACTCCATTCCCTGCACTCTTCGTCCCCCTCTGAATCCACCACGTGCTCTCCCCTCATACTTTCTCCAATATTCTTTTTAAATAGCTTGCCCGCATGGACTTTCAGTTTTAGATCTTTTCCCTATTATCTACTGGCATCTTACTATAGATGTTAAAAATACCAAGAGCACTTAACATAGTCTAGCAAATATTCCAGATGCTTTACACACATTTACTATTTTAATCTTCACAATGATATATATGGCAGATACTATTATCATCCAAATTTCTCACACCGAAAACAGGCATAGATGATTATGTATCTTGCCCAAGATTATAGAGTAATGATGGTTATAATTATGGAACCAGGATTTGAATTTGATCAGTCTGGTTCAAAAGTTCATATTAAGCTGGGTGTGGTGGCACACACCATTAATCCCAGCACCTGGGGAGATACCTCAGTGGGCAAAGTACTTACCATACAACTATGACCACCTGAGTTCCACCCCCAGAACCCACATTTTAAAAGCTGAGTCTCAAAGCCAGGCATGGTGGTGCATGCCTTTAATCCCAACACCAGGGAGGCAAAGACAGGAGATCTCTGTGAGATTGAGGCCAGCCTGGTCTACATATTGAGTACCAGGCCAGCTGTGGCTACAGGGAGCTACTGTCTCAAAAACAAACAAACAACAACAAAACGTTCATATTAACAGTAAGTCCTGTTTTAGTGTCTCTCCCTCCGTCCCTCCTTCCTTCCATTGCTCGCTCCATCTTTTTTCTCCAGTACTCGATATGAACCCAGGGCCTCAAAATCTAGATAAGCACTTTAACACTAAGCTGTATCCCCAGCCCCACACCCCTCCTTATAAAACCACAAGGATTCATTCACAGATGCTCCCAAAGGTTCCTCCTCTGAGCACCATAGTTGGTTTAACTACCTTTTCAGTACCCACAATGGAGACTAAATTTCCACACATGAATTCTTGGGAGACACATTCAGACCATATCCAAGCCATGGCAGTTAGCAAGCATGATTTTGAGATCATAACATCACACATGAGCTTCTCCTGCATGCAAGTGTGTCTTCATGTTAATGAGAACCATTATCAGAAGCATATGATTTGTCTTCTGTAGTGGCAATAAGAACTTAGTGTTTCATAGGCTTGTCCCCAATCAGGGGCTGGCTTGTCTTGGTAAGTTTTTAAACAGTCTGTGCTAATATTTCATGAAAATGAACATATCTTATCCAGGTAAAAATTTATTTCAAAAAGAAAACTTGTTCCAGTGCTTGAGTTTATCCTCTTTCTCCACAGACCTAGCAGATATTGAGTATTGAGGGTAATAGTGTTAGTGTCCCTGGTTTTGCTTTCTCCTATACCTTTACCTATTTGTGGTCTTTCAACATGCTACCCAGTTATCACCCCTAAAAGCACTCTTTTCCAACTTTTAAGACACCAGCTTACTTGAGAATTAAAAGTATCACCAGTGATTCCATGTAAGTAAAATACAAAAAGGCCTTGCTTCCAGTCAGCCAGCAAAACTGCATATCCCATCTTGTTTGACTCTCAAAAAAATCCCCTTGACCATAGAGTTCCTGGATTCCAATCAGTATGGCTGAGAAAGTCTTTCTGGAACCAGATACAAATGTGTTCAGTAAGTGTGTATTTTTGAATGACTATTGCTTTTATTACATTTAAACAGCGGTTTATATGAAAAGCAAATAATTTGCCTTCTGGAATGAGGGCTCCTCGGTGTGGTTTGGGGATGAATGATTTCCATTTTGGGTGAGTTATTTAGTGGCATTGTCTTGTAACTTGACCATAGTTTTATCTAATTTTGGCCTGTGGTTTCTTTTCTACTTAGATATAATGACATCAATAGAAAAATGAAATCCTACAGTACAAAGCACATTGCTGAGCCAGAGTCAAAGGAACTCTTCTTGTGACTCACTCTTGTTATTATTATTCTCCCTGATGCCCTTTGGACACCATTGGAAGTTACTGGACTATTCACTATGGAAATAAGACCATGAGAACACCTCACCAGCAGAGCAGAATATCGGGATGCCTTAAGTTTATAAGATGAGACTTGTTATAAGATACATTTTGGGTGATATCTGTATATAGAACTTGTTTTTTTAAGATGCAGTTTGAGAACATGATTGGACAAATGTATGAACTTAAATATTTAACATTTGATTGATTCACCCTGCTCATAGTACATCCACTAAGCCACTGGCATGGTTGGTGTTTCATCCATTGCATGAGGATTTGCTAGTGTTGACTGAACTTTCCTTTCCCTATAACATGGGCGACTTTGGCCCAGCTCCTTAGTGAGGCCAGGTCCATGGTATTATTTTATGTCAAACGTTGTTTGTTCTGTCATTTCTACTCTTTTTTATAAAGGAAATTAAATACTGTTAACAGCACTATGAGCTCGGGGCATCTCCTTTCTAATAAATTTGTGATGTTCTGATTTCTAAAGGGCTTTGAAAGTATTTTGATTGCTGATATTTGATTTCAAGAACAAACTGCCCTGTTTAGCTGGTTTCCCTTAAGGGGTCAAATAAAACATTCTATACTTCATTAAGTACTAAGGGATCAGACAAGTATATGGAATGAACCAATTCTGCCTTCTCAAATTTCAGTGCTGACGTGGGAAAATATTAATGACAGCTAAGGATTTAGTCCCTTCTTGGGTCACTTTTTTTTTGCTCCTGACATGTTATGAGGCTTGTATAATCCCTATGGGAGACAGAGTGGAGCCTAAGCTTATAACAGTCCTATTGTTGATACAATTCTTTCAAACCTCTTAAGCAGCAAGTTACAGGAAAGTTCATCTTATCATGTAAAAAGGCATTTCTGTTGAAACTTCAAGAGTTTATTTTCAAAGCATTGGCATGACCTGTAAGAGGCCCGTCAAGTTATCATTTAAGAACAGATGTATTCTTACCAGTAGGAGGGAGCAGAGGCTACAGTTGCTTACAAGTTTTCTGCAGTCTAATGTGGGCCATTCTGTGTCCTAATGCACAGAACAGGCCAATGTCCAAATCTGGAGGTTATTCTGCATATATGAGTCAACTTGACTTAATGAGATACAGTGAGGTACAGAAGGATTTCATATTTGAGTGCCTTTTATGTACAAATGGCAATATCACTGTTACCATTTCATACAATTAGAAATGAGCTTTGAAGAAATATAAGCACTGTACCAAAGTTTACACTACTAGTAAATAGCAAAATTAAGCATCGGTACAAGCTTGTTTGTCATCCCCATTGAGCTAGCCTTCAAACCTATGCTATGCCACCTCCCTAGAACAAGGCCCTGAACAGCTCTTGGGTCCTGGACAGGGGACACTGCCTCCTTGAGAAATCTGAAAAACATCAGAGTGGCTTAAATACACAACTAGGAAGAAGGTGCCTTCCAACTTACAGCAAAAGTTTCACTTTGTCCTCAGCAAAGTTTACTGTGTCCTCATCCGAGTCTTGTGAGTGACCTTTATTACGAATGCCTGGTGTCATTTCTCATGCTGTACTCAAACAAGATGTCCTGCATCTGACTTTAGGACTCTACCACCTCTGCCCTCTTTGCTTCCTTCCTCACATCTCACTAATGTGTGCTGTTGCATGGATTTGAAGAGAGGATATAGAGCAAATACATAAGTTCCTGTTTCCTGCCTGCTGCGAGATGAGGTGACATGAGTCACATATTGAGGCAATCTGTGGTACTTGGCCCAAAATGGGATTTGTAAGGAAGGAGGGATCCAGAAAGTGCTCCAGCTGTTCCCCGAGGTCCTAGTTCTGCTCTAAGCTGTTTTTAAATATGAAAGATGAAAGGTCTGGACATGACCTATAGGTTTTTAAAACAAGACAAGAAAACTAATTAAACATTAGCAAAGAAAATTTCAAGAGTTTTTGTGAAAGAAACTATCTTGACTTAGGAAACTCTGGCAATCCAGCTGTTCTGTAGAAGTAACATTTTACTTCTAAAGCACTAAGTACAGAAGAACAGATAATGGAGAGGATGAAAAAGGAACACTGAAGAGATTCCTGTGAGCCCAACTACAAGATCACACGGTTTCTATTTAATGAAGCTGCTAGGACACTAAAAATGCTGGTCCTCAAATCATGCATGGACATGTATTCACTAAGTTTCTTATCAAATGAATAAATTAGAGTCACCTGAAATACTTAGTTATTTTTTCCTTACTACAAACAGTTTTGTACACTATTTTTAAAATGAAAGCACAAACTTATTTTCTGTGGGAATTGAGACACATTTGTATATTAAGAGAGAGTGGGTGTGTGGCTCCTTTTAGTAAGCAGAGCTCTGGGGCTCCTGCTCCAACTCCTTCCCATTGGGCTAGTAAAGTGAGCAAGCTCTATCTGCATGCCTAATTGCATGCAGCAGAGTAGGAAACTCGGCTCTATTGTAGAAGACAATCACATCTGTCAGCATCTTGTAAAGATTTCTTTCCTTTATGTCTCCAAAGGGACTTGTACTGCCAAAGTTCAACACATCAAATTAAGAATGTTTGTTACAAAAGATAATAAGACACTAAACTACCACCATTTCGAACAAATTGAATTCCTGTTATTTATTCACATTAAACAGTGTCACAACTTCAACTCTAATGAGAAAGTCCTGGATGTTTTTCAGGGATTTGGAAGTGGAGATAAGATTCTCAAGGCTATCTTCCAATAAGATTTTGATTTGTGTGTGTGTGTGTGTGTGTGTGTGTGTGTGTGTGTGTATGGTGATGGGGATGGAACTTGGGGCTTTACCCATGCTAGGCAAGGGCTATACCACTAAGCTATACCCAAATCCAATATATTAATCTCCTTTCTTTTTTTTTTGGTCTTTTTGAGACAGGCTCTCCTTGTAGCACTAGCTGGCCTGGATTCGCTGTGGAGGCCAGGTAGACCTCGAACTCACAGAGATCCACCTGCCTCTGCCTCCTGAGTGCTAGGATTAAAGGTGTGTGTCACCACACCTGGCAATTAATCTCTTTTCTTAATAATTCATTTTTTCATGTGTGTGAGTGTATTGCCTGCATGTATGTAAGTGCACCTGTGTTGTGCAATTCCTGCGGAGGTCAGAAGAGGGAATTGGGTCCCTGGAACTGGAGTTTGGATCCCTTGGAACTGAAGTTATGGATGGTTGTTAGCCACCATGTGGGTACTGAGAACTGAACCTGGGTCTTCTGCAAGAGCAGCCAGTGTTCTTAAATGTTGAGTGATCTCTCCAGCTCCAAATTCATTATTTTAAGATTTTTTTTTCTTCAGAGTGAACAGACATACCAGGCATAGTGACACATGCCTATAATCTTAGCACTCAGAAGGCAGAAGCAGGACAATTGCAAGTTCAAGCCCACATCGAGTAATCATGACAAGGTGGTGATAGAGGGTGGGAAAATGGCTATTTAAAGAGTGCTTGAATCCCTAAGAACTTCTTTGTTACAAAATGGACTAAATGTTTATTCTTCCATGCCCTTTAACCTGTTTACGTTGACTTGACAAAACTGAGTAAGAATACAGAATTCATTTCTTCCATAAAATGAAGCTCTCTCTACCTACTGCCCATGATGTTCATTGGCAGATAAGCTTGTCTTCATGGCCTGTGTTATCTCCAGCATTATTTCTCTCCATTATTATACAGTTTTACATAACTTTTCAAGCACTTGATTCTACCTCCTATTGAGACCATAAATTTATTGATATTAACAAAATCTCTACATCACTTCATAGATGGTGGTCGGTGAATGTTGATAATTTTTTTCAGCATCTTCTAGCCATCTCTCTCTCTTCTTTGTTTTTCTGACTCTTCTTCAACCTCCTTTTCTTTCCTTTCTTCTCATTTTCTCACTTTTTTCATCCTTACTCCCTTCCACCTCATTTTACTCTCATCTCCCCCACCTTTTTGTGTTTTCATTCTCTGCCCTGTTTATAAGATCTTGAAACATTGCCTTAGTTTTCATCCTGTTGCTATGATCAAATACCCTGGCAAAAGCAATTTAAAGGAAGAACTGTTTGTTCTGGCTCACAGTTCAAAGTACAGTCTATCATAGCAGAGAACTCAAGGCTGCAGGAGTTTAAAGCACCTGGGTGACATTGTCTCCATAGTCAGGAAGCAGAGTAACAAACACTAGCACTAAGATCATCTTCTCTATTTACAGTCTAGGATCACAGCTCAGGGAATGGTGCCACCCAGTAGGCAGATCTTTCCACACCAATTAACCAAATTAAGATAATCTCTCACAGGCATGTCCAGAGGCTGGTATCTCAGGTAAAATCTAGATCTTATTAAATTGACAATTGAAATTAGTCACCATGACCCTACACCTTGTCAGTCTGACACTCTAAATTGTAACTTCCCACTCTTTGTTCCTAAAGTCTCCTGTCCATCTCATAATGTGAAATACAATTGAACTTTAAAGGTTATCACACTATTTAACAATTCCAATAGTTTAAAGGTCTAAAGTCCATGTCTCATCTGATACTCAAAGCAATCTCTGTACTGTGGGTTTTTTTAAAAAATAAATAAATAAAGGTTACCTGATTCCAAAATACAATGGCACAGAGTAAACATTCCCACTTTAAAATAGAAGAATCAGGCCTAGAGAGATGGCTCAGAGGTTAAGAACACCAGAGGACTCAGGTTCGATTCCCAGAACCCACATGGTGGCTAACAACCATCTGTAACTCCAGTTTCAGGGGATCCAAAGCCTTCTTCTGACCTCCGCAAGCATTGCACAACATGGGTGCTCTTACATACATGCAGGCAATCATTCATACACATAAATAAAAATAATAAAATATTTAAAAATGAAGAATCAGGGCACAGCAAGGAATGACAAAACCAAACAAGACCAAAAATCCATCACAGAAAACACTAAATCCTACAACCCTATGTAATGTAATCATCTGGGTTCTGAATGGATTTGGTAGCTCAGTTCCTCCATCTCTGCTGCCTAAAGCACACATCACCTCTTTCTCCTGAACCAGTACCACTCAGTGCACACAGCTTTCCTCCGTGAACATCCTATAGTCCTGGAGTCACCTTTGCAACTTAAGCTTCACCTCCTCAACTTCACACAATGGCCTCCTAGGGCCTCTTTTCAGAGCCTTGACCTGCCATATAGTTCCTGGCCTCAGCTGCTTCTGCAACTGTGGAACAGGACTACTTGATTCCTCAGTCTTGCCTCTTTCATGCCTGCAAAACCAGTACTACGTGGATGATGATGCCAAGTTCTGCTGCCAGCTCAAGATGTAGTCTGACACCCTTGGGCCATAGCTGTATCAGCTTCTGTGGCTAAACCTGAGGAAACATTTCCCTAGGCAGTTGCTTGTGAAGATCATGGGAACCTTTCAATTTAGTCTTCCTTTCTTAAATGAATTTGGGTATTCACAAGATGGAGGCTCTGATGGGTGGAACACCTTTCCTGTTGTCCTATTGTCCCAGTACATCCAACAAGGTTTCTCTT